AGATGCAACAACAACAATAACAACAAACCTAGTGGAATCCCATAAGTAGGTCTAGGGAGGGTAATGTGTACATAGACCTTACCCCTACCTTATGAAGGTAGAGAGGTTGTTTCCGGTAGACTTTCGGCTCAAGAACAGTGAACGGTTGCAAATGATTTTTTTTAATTTTTTTTTATAAAAAAGAATGCTGTCATGGTTGGGTGCTTGAGAGTTCCATATTCATGTTGTTAAGAGGCACAGACAACTCTTCATGAAGTTGCAGAAGCTTGAAAATTAAAAATGTTACTTTTGTTGACATTTAGAAAGAGCTTAAAATTTCTGGAAATTCTTATACATATTATAAAAATATAAAAATAAAAATAAAAAGGACAGTCCGATGTACTAAGCTATCGCTATTTTGCATATTCTCAAATTTTGCAGAACATGATATATATCATTGTATTGGATCTCTTTTCCAACTCTGTCCAATTTAATGTTGTCTCTGTTTCCTTTTTTTTTTTTTTTAAAAAGAAGGTAAGTATCTTAATGATAAGATTGGAACTCGTGACACTATAGTTTGAATAGTGATTCCTTTATTATCTATTTTTTCTGGATATTATCATTCTATATCTACTTTTTGAAAATTTTGGGCTTTCTGCAGCATCATGTGGTTGCAGTCTCATTGCAATATGGGCTACCCCTAGCCCAATTATCGATCATAGTAACTTCAAAGCCCAGCCCATCCTAATCTAAGCCATTTAATTTCGCGTTAAGTGCACCAATAGCAATTTTTAAGCCCGGTTTAAAATATATTCATAATTTACAACGTATTTAAAATTTAACCAATTCACCCAAATTTCAGGACTAAATATCCTGATGTTTTGTATCCTGAATTTTTGAGCTACTAATTTAAAATTTATTACTTAGTGTCCTAAATTTTTGAGCTGCAACAACAACAACAACCCATTGAAATCTGGAGAAATTTTTGAGCTGCTAATTTGAAATTTAAGACTTTTAGGACTAAGTGTCCTAAATTTCTGAATTACTAATTTAAAATTCAGGAGATAAGATTTTCAATTTTTTGGACACAATTTTTGAATTTTCGGACACGATTTTCTGAAGGTTAAGTTTGAGCGAATGAATAGTTTTTAAAAATAAACAGTATGCTTAAAAGTGTTTAAAACTATGAATGTACAACATTTTTGTATGGTCTAAGGGGTCATTTGGTTGTGAAGCAAATAATGTAGAGATTGTAAAACAGATATTTGTAATCCAGTGTTATAAGGATTATAATAAGGAATCAAACATTGTAATCGATTATGTGGAAACAAAAAATAAAATCAAATAGTATATTAACAATGTTATATTTTAATATGTAGATTATTCTTTTCACTGCTCCCAACAAAATGTTACCTAAGTATTTAGGCGTGCTTTGTGAAACTCAAATAAAGTATTGAATTCCTTTAACATAAGAAAAGAGTTTGGCTTTTTTTACTTTTAGTATTCGCCAGTAACTATTTATATTTGATAGTCGAAAAAGTGTATAAATTTTTTATAATTTTTGTATATAACATATGAAATGTATATATACACAAAAAAATATACAAATAATATATATTTTTCGGCTATTATTTAAAAAGCGATTATACAGTACATTTTCCCAAAAGAGTTTAGTATTTCGGTATGCTTTAGTGAAATTTTCTAGGAAAAAGATGTTTCAATATTTCTTTAATTTAAGAGAAAAAAACATTTAAATAGTTGGGTTGTCATGGTTGAAGGATATTAAGTGAGAGGTCCAGAAAAAGAGAGAAAAGAGAACCCCTTTTTCCACAGTTATAAGACTTATTCAATTGTTTAAATGCATATAATTAATATTATACTAACCTTTTATTACGGCACTCATCTCTCTCTTATATCCTTTGGTTATTATCTTCTTAATTTTATTACTATTATTTTTAAGAAACCATTTTCTTTATCTACTTGAATAACATTACATGATATCATGGCTTTATTTTTTTTGGTGGCACTAACAATATATGTACCATCGCGTTAAGATGGCCTATAACAACAATTAACATATGTAATAATTTATAAAAATTCGTAAAATAACTTGTTATAATCGACACTGATATAATACATTAAATTTATGTGTCAATATATATATTTTAAAGATGGTGATGTTCCAACCAATTTATGTGCATCTCGTTTATTTCACTGAATACTTGCTGACCTCCATCATCGATCGCGTAACTATGTCCACTAAAATTTAAGGAGATGGAAAGAAAACTATTTAGTATTTTTTATAAGCCACTATATATAGAGAAAACATTAAGTCATTTTATACGAATTAATGTACCAAAAAAATACTATATGAATTAAATCCGTGATCTAATATGTGCCTTAAAAAAATGTTTTTGATATAAATATGTGGCTATGCACGTAGAGAGATAATAAAAAAACGTGCCGCTCCAAACGGGGCATATACAAGAACCATAACTGCAATTCTATGATGTTTAGGATTTTTGAACTAAAAATCCTTAAATACCCCTTTAATATTTGTCTTATATGTAAACCAATGAGGGCAAAATAGTCATTATCAATTTTCATGGCTTTTCAAGATTCATATATATCTGCATCATCCTCTCATCATTATAAAACTACCTCAATTTTTCATAGTCTCCATTAATATTAAACCAACAAAGGTTACAAGAAAAATATATTAAACAATAGAGAAAAACCAGTCATTTTCATATTTTTTTAAGGCTTTATATTAAAAAACCACTTTCCTTTTATTCTGTCTCATTTGCTAGTAACATATCAAATCTCTCTTACTGTTTGCTGGTAAGTTTTCTTTATGTTATAATAAAGACTTGATTTTTATTACTCAGTATGGTGTAATATTTCATAAAAATGATTTCTTTTTGTATTATAATTAAATATTTTTGTGTTTGTTCCATGCAAGGTGGAGAAGAGAAGAGTATTGATGTTGAAATTTCAAGGTGGGATTTTTATGTATTGTTCATTCTGCAAAGGGCATATTTTATTTGGGGGTGGTGGGGTAGTGGTGGTTTGTGGGGGGGGGGGGGGTAGGTCATGTCCCACCAACCCTTTTTTGTTTAGGTCATAAATCTTACTTTCTGAGAACTGTGTCAGAAAAAGAGGAAAGAATAGAGCTTTGGACTTTGTTATATATGCAGATATATTACTAACAGAAGTGTACAATTCATAAGGGGGTTCTTGAAAAAGAGTACTAATAAAAATCAATTACATGTCATATCTTTAGAATGTCAGAAATAAAGATTTTATAATTTTATAGCATATGTATATAGATATAATAGACCTAGAGAAGAGGGTTTTGTATATATGTATCTGAGATATTTATGACCTGAGCCTAAAAGGGTATCTCTGCTTTTGAGATTTCTGAAGCTTTGTATAGGTCTTCTTGTGTTCCTATATTTGGTACTCTGAAACAATATTCATGGCTGTTACAGCTATGGTGTGTACTATTATATGCTTTTCTTGGGCTTTGAGTATTTTCTTCTGCTACTTGGAGTTAAAGGGGTTGTTGTTATTCAGTTCTTTCCAGTGGCATTTTCATGGTAATACATACACCTACCCCCCCGCCCCCTCTACCATTGCTGTTGGATTTAGTATTACTTGTTCCTTTCCCTTCTTTTTCTTACTATATGTTGTTGTTACTGCTTGTCTTTTTCTGTGTCGGGTCAACGTGGGGTAAGGTTTGAGTACACACTAACCTCCTCAGACCCTATTTGTGTGATTATACTCCGTTTGTTCTTGTTGTTGTTACACTAACCCCCCCCCCCCCCCCTC